ACTGACAAAGCGCTCATATTGGGTCATCTGCTCACATGTTTACTACAACGTGGTGTCGTAGTAGTAGATATGGGCGTATAAAAAAAGGGGGGGGGGGGGGGGGGTCACCCAGCGTGCTTGTTACCCAGGGGGAGGGGCTTGTGGGGCTTCAGCCCCCCCCCCCCCCCTTCCACCGAAATCCCAGCCGACCCTATAATATACACATGCATTTTGACCCCCCCCCCCCCCTCCGCAGCCGAAGTCATTGACATCCCAGCCACCTCAGCCCCCCCCTCCCCCCCCCCCCCCCGCCCCCCCGAAAAAAAAATCCTGGCTACGCCACTGCTTGATACCTTTACGCCAAACGAAGTTGGTGCATTACGGAAACATGGTAGCTCGTACAACTCCCGCGCTTTGCACTTTAAACAAAGATGTAGTTGCAATCAGGAAAGAAACGCAGCTCTGCTTCGCAACATTCGCAAACAAAATATCGCAATTCCAAGCTTCTTCTTTGTCTTTTTTTTTTTTTTTTCTAGATTTGCTACATTTTTGTTGCTTCAAATTATTGCGTTGTTTTTCCTCAAACATGTTATTTTTTTCTTTCATTTTTTTTTCGTTAAGGGCGTATTTAGCGCCAAGTGAGCAGGGAATATGAGTAGCCCCTGAGCCCCTCAGGAGAATGTACAGCTAAAGCTCGCGAAACTCATCTCCTACATGTTCTGTTTTAAGGGTAAAATGTCTCCATTAGTTCTGGAAATGGTCTTGCTTCTTCTAACTTTAGTAATTTAGAGCTTCGTAGCCATTTGAACGTATTACTCTAAGCCATAGGTGGCCAGGCTGACCCGGCCTAAGAGCCGCAAACCAAACCACTAAACTTCCACGGGCCGCCTGAAAGAAAAAAGGCAGAAAAAACCAAACTTTTTTTTAGACCAATAAATGAAACTTCAACTACTTCATGTCTATCCAAGTCAAAAGCAGTCCAACTGTACGTACGTATGGTAGCGGTAGCACAGGGCCAAACTGCAACCTGCCTCAGTTTAAAACTTGTTCCTATTCTCTACTTGGGGAAGTGCTCATGTGACCGGGAGGGAGGCGGGAAAGGAGGGGGGGGGGGTTATGAATACTAGAGAGCCACGAGCCGCACTTTAACCCGCAAAGAGCCGCAGCTTGGCCACCCCTGCTCTAAATTAAGAACAAAAAGTCATACCTCAGAGCAGGCACGTAGCCAGGATTTTGATTCGGGGGGAAGAAGGGGGGGGGGGGGGGGGGGGGGGCACCCATGACAAAATGCTGTATGATCACTCGATGGCAGAAAAGGTGTCTCGCACTGGCAGATCAGACACTGGCTCCAGAGCAGTTGCTTGCAGTCACTGCCTCTCGAAACCTTTTGGGGGACATCTCAAGAGCCGGCTCCTTGAAACGCCTGTTAGTGGTTAGAAAAGAAAGCTTCGGGAGGTTCACCGATATTTCTTTTTGCTTGTTTTAAACTTGTTGTTTCGGAGAGAACTTTCCACATGGAACAACGTTAAAAGACCAAAAATATACAAACAAAAATGTTTAGCATGAATGTTGCTCGTGTAGCCTTCGGCAACACTTGCTTGCCTTCCAACTAACGATTGTCCGTACAACGCGTCGAGGGTGCCCTAGTACAATAGAGAACTCCGTGGCCGTCCTTCCGTCTGGTTTCAATTAGAAGAGACCACAAAGGGACCGCCAACGTCGACAGCTTTGCTCTCTCTGACAAGGAGGGTGGGAGGCAACCGCTTACATTTTGTTGCTCTGGCACAGTTTTTTACAAGCTCACAAACACCAGCTCGTCTAGAAAAACCGCTTCCCCCGTCGAAAAAAAAAACAAAAAAAAACCGCTTCCCCGTCAAAAAAAAGAAAAAAAAAAAAAAAAAAAAGGTGGCACGACGTCAGAAAGCCAGGGCCCAGAGGCTCCTATGAGTTTTTGTTTCACGTTTTGGTCTGAGCTGTTCTGAACTAAAACCGACTAGCATATATTTTTTTTCTTCAAATTTTTGGGGATTAGCACTGCAGCCCCCTTAGCCCGTCCCTTGATTCGGCCCTGGGGTAGAGGGAGGCTTTGAGCCAAATGCACGCGGGCTCAGCATATTGACCAGCACCCCCTGGAAAATGACAGCGGGTGCTCAAGCCGCCGCCGCCGCCGCCCCCCCCCCCCCCCCCCCCCCCCCTTTCGGCTCCGGGGTCCCTGTGGGATGATCATCGTACTGGCGTCGGGTCGTGTATCACTACTGCGTAGTGCACGCTAAAGACCCCAGGGTAGCGGTTGTACCACACTGGCTAAATTTCTCATCTACAGCTCAGAAAAAGTCGCGCACTTCACGTGCTTTCGTTTCTCTGTTGTAGAAGCGTGGCCTAGTCCCTATCCTTGTGCTTGACTGCAGTGGTGAAACCAGTGGTTTCCCTACACCCCCCTTGTTTTCCTGACGGCACCCCCTTAATTCGCAACGACTCCTCTATTCTTAGTGCCCTCCCCTCCCCTCCCCCCTCCCTCCCCCCCCCCCACCCTCCCCCCCCCCCCCCCCCCTAAACATTTTGACAAACCCTTTAATTTAAATTCCTGGGGAAACCCACGAGTGGAACTACTGCTTCCTAACTACAACCATTCTAGAGCCTAACCTTCTTTCGATGTTCGGGCTAGAATCCATCAGACGGCCACCCTCCATTTCCCGGCGAATAGAAGGGCGCGCATGCTTCCATCAATGAACCGAAAGCGCCGCGAGTCCTTTAACTACTCCCATCACGTCCGCGTTGGCGCGGATTTGTTCGCAAACCTGTACCGCGGCATTTCATCCACTGTTCTCTCCGTCGCCTTCATGATTCTCGTTTTCTGCCGCGGACCTCGTTTCCGCAGTTCGGCGAGGCTCCTCCGGGTATCGAGGCGGCGCAACAACCACTGGGACGGGGCTGCGCTTTCGCCACTCAGCCTTCCAATATCGTTGCCTCTTTATCTGTCGCGCATCGCCAGGCCGGGAGCGCGGCGTGGAAGACGCGCCGCTGGCAGACAGCACAGACTGCACCTCGACGGGTCCCGCGAGCCGTCGCAGGAGCGTGCAGGCCGGTGCTGGCGTCAGAAAAGATTCGAACGTCTCTAACGTGGGTTGTCAACCGAAACACCCCCCATGCGTACCTCTCTCCCTCTCTCTGATATGCTGTACTTCGTCCATCCCTCAGCTGATGGTGCGGTGGGACGTGCTTGCGGGAACAATCAACCACGTACCCTCCATTTCATAACCTGGCAAATGTGGGCCCGCACCCTCCGCGTTGGGTGTTGAGCGGGAATGTGGCGAAAGATAGAGTATGACTGCCCCAACGAGCACGCAGCTTTCACCGCACTGCCAGCTCAGGGGTCGCCTCCCCACCAGCGACTTTCGATAGTGCCTCGCAAGTTGCTCACCTGCACCTGAGCACCCTCAAAGGGTCTCGAGGCAGCGCGTGGGCAAGAAATTAAATGGGAACGAAAATCGTTCCGCGATATTTTCAATAAACGAGGGGGAAAGCGCCCGCAAATCGTAAATGATTCTTGTAGAAGATTGTTTTGTAAAACAAAAACAAAATAATGGCTTGAAACTTTTGTGTGTGTTTGTGTGTTCCGAATTTCCTGTCATTTTCGAACGCTTATTTGCACACCCACTCTAGACAAAGCAAAATGAAGTTTGAAATTTTAACTTATGTTGAATGGCTAGCTGTTTCTTTCCGCTGTTTTCGCGTTCAAGACGTAACATTTTTTTTTTTCTTAGTAGGGGTTTTTACGTTACGTTTTATTCCAACTTTATCACGAAATCGACTCTCAATGTAGTGTGCGTGGAGAGGGGTGAGACCTCTAGCAGGTGAAAGGGGCGGCTGTCGCGGTGGGCCACAGAGTAGGGGGTGCACGGTCACGGCGGACCGCCGAC